CCCACAGTCCTGAAACATGCTGAGGTTAATTGGTGATTCTAAATTGTCCGTAGGTGTGAATGTGAGTGTGCTTGGTTGTCTGTCTCTAAGTGTAGCCCTGTGATAGACTGGTTACCTGTCCAGGTGAACCTGCCTTCACCCTGAGGTCACCAGTCCATCACAGGGCCAACACAGAGCACACCTACAGCCAATTTAAAATCACCAGTTCACCTCAGCATGTTTTTGGATTGAAGGAGGAAGCAAGAGAACCTGGTGAGAACCCACACAGAGAGAACATGCAAACTCCACACAGAAAGATCCCAGGCCCAGGCCAGGATGCGACCCAGGGATCTTCTAGTTTTGTGGCGACAGCGCTAAGCACAGAGCTGCTGCGCAGCCCAATAATACGTGTATGAATGTTCATTTCTAATACATGCACCAATGCATTATGGGTTGTGTAGTGAACTCTAATGATGTAATACTGAGGGTGTTCAGAACACTTGATATGGTGTCCTGAACATCCTCTGAAGACTCAGGAAACCTCCAGAGAACCTTTGGAGAACATTAGTGATAATTTGTACACTTTTTTTTTTTTGCTATTTTATCCAGCTCTAATTAACGTAAAAAGCTTAAGATACTATTTTCTGATGAAGGTTAAAGTGGCCTTTGAGTTAAAAATGTTTGTATTTAACACAGCCATTAATACCACAAATGCTTTAATGCCTAGTTACAGTGGAAGGTGACAGTAATAGCTTGTGTACTAAAAAAAAAAAAACAGCCCAACTTATAAAAAACTGCCCCATTGCTATCACTATTCTTGCACTTTTTAAGCTCCTGTGAGATATGTCAGGTTCAGTCAATTTAAAGGCGCTGCAGTGGGATGTTGAAGTGGTTTCTATTGTTGTCACAGACTGTAGGTGTGATTCTGGGTCCTTTCTCTATGCTTTGCATGTTGTCCTTATGTGTCCTGACTACAGGTTCTGAATAGCTGCTCAGGGCTTATAGCCACAGACACTTCCCTTAAACACTAGACTCACATAGTCTGATTGAGCCACTGCTCATTTCTTTGTACTTCTCTTCCACTAGCTGAGTGCTACCAATTGCTTTATGAAACAACAACAACAACCACCTCGAGGTAGCAACCTAAGGATTTGAATCATGCAGTAAGGCAGCCCTACTTATGTTGTTTCCCATGAATTATCCATATTAATCACAGCGGCCTTTTTTCTGCATGCTGGTGTTTCACCAAAACAAATCCACCTGCCACTACTTTGAGGGAACACCAAAGCTGCATCCTCGCTCAACTTGGGCCACCAACCATTGTGAATGGATTAAAGAAAACCAGACACAGCATTCTTCCCCTACAGCAGCATTATAGCGTTGTGCAGCCAGGCCAATGGGCCAAAGCAGGACCTACAGCTGTGTATAAAGGTGTCACCGCATCTCATTATCATTCTGCTATCAAGGAAAAAATCTCTGCCATGTTTGTATTGCTTTGAAAAAAATCCCCATCATCTTGGCAGTTCACTCAAAGCAGTGACGGGGATTTGCTCTGGTGGAACATTTTGTGTACCAGAGTTATACACACTTTCCTTTTCTCAGTTACTCCAGTGCTACTCAGTTACCCCGAACAATTTAAAATATATTCAGCTGCAAACGGACATGTCAATAGAAATAAAACTTCACAGCAATAAATGCAGATAGTAACGGGTTACATTAAAGATACTGGCCTTTAATGAATGTCATCTGTTTTCTTTTTTTTAATAGGAGCTGAAGTTGCTTGAAGGATTTTTTCCTCTGAGGTCAATAAATAGCTGCAGTATCAGACAGGAGCAGGATGTGCTTCCCCAAAGCAAGAGAGAGTCTTGCTTTGGAGACTCCAAACATAATTCTCAATTACCCCCAGACAACAACCAGTTTGTGCCAGGATCTGATGGCAAGTCACAGTGAAGTAGTCACTTCATTACTTGGCTATAATTGGATAATATCCCCGACATGGTGAGTGGATCAGTCAGGGTCTGAGTCAGAAGCAAGTCACACCATGTTCCTTTCTTCATATCAGACAGGTGAACTATATCAGCTGTAGGTAAGTTAGATGTGCTGCATACCTCTGAGCTCCATCACAGCTTAGCTATTGTTTCCTTATTAAAGTAATACGTATTGTCAACTTTTTAATATAAACGTGAGGAGCCAGACTCTGGCCTGTCTCTGTAATATGTCTGTAAAGCACCTTGGTCCAGGCCGCAGCCTGCAGGGTGACTGTCAGCTGAAGGTAAAACACTGCTGACTCCATCACAGTGATGGGTGGGGGCTGACTCAGAGAACATATCACCTTTTAAATGAGGCTATAGCTATATACAAGCACAATAGTTGCTGATATGATTTCTAGCTGCAGTTATATGCAGTTCAGAAATGAGCAGTAGAACCGTCCGGTGCTGCAGGAGATGCTGAGCAGGACCGCAGTGGGATCTGGCTCCGCTCCAGCAGCGCCAGCGCTTCAGCTCACATCAGACCGAGCATAGTTTTAGGAAAGCCTCCATCACCACCAACCACGAACTGTCATCACCTGCCTTGGAAACGTGTCCCCTCAAACATTTGGGATGCACATCTACAGCAACGCTCCGCTTCCTCGGCGCATTTCTCAATGACGCCTCGTCCTGTCCTAGATCACCTCTCCTAGTTCCTCCTGCAGTGAATAGATGATCTTACCTTACTTGCGTTATTCCAACTCGTCGTGCTTTGTCGTCCGAGGTCAGTGCAGGTAAACAGCTGAGCTGGCTGTGGGTGGATGCTGCAGCGGGGTGTGTTCACCAGCTCCACTTACTGCCGCAAAGTGATGCTGCGACTTTTAGTCTGATGCCGTTCACTGGCAGGACGGGAGGAGAGAGGAGGAGAGGAGAGGAGAGGACAGGAGAGGAGAGGAGAGGAGAGAAGAGGAGAAGAGGAGAGGGGAGGAGAGGAGAGGAGANTCGGGTGTCCTCACCGGGACGCCAACCGGCGACCTTCGAGCTGTGAGGCCACGGTGCTAACCACCCTAACAACCCTTGCAGCCCTCACTGCTAAACCAATCTAGCTAATTACGTATGCACAGCACGGATGTGTCTCTTTGTAGAACACTCGAGATGGTCAAGAATTGAAGTAGGCTGTAAGACAGACTCACCCAAAACAGAGTAGGTCTCCTCCCACTGTGGACCAACACTGAACCAGACAAGGTCACCTGGTACATCACAACACAATCAGATACAGGAGAAATATCAGCAAGGTCTTGATATGAAATGTTAGTATAGTACAGCAGAGTAAGTACAGCAAGATGAAAAGATGCTGTGAGTACCAGCTTTGACTTGAACTCTCCAGTCAGTGCTCTCTGACTTACCTGTATGACAACAATCAGGAAGAGGGCCACGTCTCCTGTGAAGTGAACCTCATGGATCTGGAGCACAGAGGCACTTAGACAGAGAATCAGTGCCCCGATAACAATCTGGATCGCCTGGGGTGGGGGGGGGGTGCAGAGCATGTAGAAGAAGTGATCAGTTCATCATGTATTCATACATGTAGCACAGATAAAATCATTAAATTGGTCCTCTACATGTAATTCAGAATCAGGTCCAAGTTTTCCTTTCAACTGTCTTTTTCTTTGTTGGACCCCTGAAACACTGTATGTCACATGACAAGTCAGTTGTTACCACGTATTAGACACAAATATGTCCGTCTGAGTTACCGACTGACAGGGTGTATTGTCCTGAAGTCTGATAAGCACTTCTGCTCACCCCCAGAGTCTTGGGCTCCATCTTGAGGTGGGACTGCAGTTGGCCTGGGGAGAGGTTCTCCACTGCCGGCAGCGGATCTTTATCGTTGTAATCCATCCTGCAGCTGGTGGATAAACAGCAGGGCTCAAGAACATATACCAAGGAAGAGTTTGGAGAAAAGGATTTAGCCAAAGAGAAAG